TCTCTCGGGTGTGAAATATAAATCATGTTTTTATGATTTTTTTGTAAATCTTTACTCTTTTTACACCTTGTTTTTGTAAGCTGAAGTTTCTTATTAAAAGAAAAAAAAAGAAGAAGAAATTCCAGTGGGCCATGTCGTTATTCCATAGACTTTAATAAACATCTGGGGGGGGTACAGAAGGAAATTCCACAACCATCCTTGAGAAAACCATTCTTGTTGTGCCTTGAGGAATGAACTGGAAATAAATTCTTCCTCTCAGCCTTAAATCTTTCCCCCTTGTCACTGCCTGGAGCAGGACAGGAGGGACTGGGAGCAGCAGCTCTGCAGGGGAGGAGAACAACGACGTCCTTCCAGGATTGCAGCGAACCCCTCGCAGCCCAACACGGCTCCGGTCCTGCTGGGAGGGCGAGCTCTGCTCCCTGCAGCTCCAGGAATTCCTGGGACAGGAGTTCAGCAGTGTTAGTGGAGGTGGGTTCTGGCACGTGGCAGCTTAGTAACAGCTTTACAACCCTGTGTGAAGGCTGGGTCGTGTGGGCTTTGGTGCTCCTGGGGCCTGGGGTGGGCTCAGGGGTTGGTCCCGCTGGTCACTCCTGATTTGTGTCACCTCACACGGGGACAGCCCCGTCCTGGGGGGTGTCAGGACACGTCTGGGGGGTTTGTTCAGCCTCGAGATTGAGGAGAGACCTCAGGGGGCTGCAGGTTCCTCCTGAGGGGCAGCTCTGATCTCTGCTCCCTGGGAGCAGTGACAGGACCCAGGGAAGGGCTGGAGCTGTGTCAGGGCAGGGTCAGGTTGGATCTCAGCAAAAGGTTCTTCCCCCAGAGGGTGGTTGGCACTGACCAGGCTCCCCAGGGCAGTGGGCACAGCCCCAAGGCTGCCAGAGCTCCAGGAGGGTTTGGACAACGCTCTGAGGGACAGGGTGGGATTGCTGGGGTGTCCTGTGAGGGCCAGGAGTTGGACTGGATGATCCCTGTAGTTCCTTCCAACTCGGGGCATTCCATGATTCCAAGCACAGCTGTTCCCACCTTCCCAGATCCCGCCCAGTCCCCCTCACCCCCTGCACTCACCGGCTCTAGGGGACGGGCTGCGGGGCCATCAGGTCGATGTCCGTCAGGTTCCGGGCGACCCAGACCCCGGCAGCAAACAGCCCCAGGTTCACCAGCAGGTTCCTGCAATCCCAGAGTCATTTCAGTTGGAAAATCCCTCCAGGACCATCGAGTCCAGCCTGTGCCCGATCCCCACCTTGTCTCCCAGCCCAGAGCACTGAGTGCCCTGTCCAGTCCTCCCCTGGACTCCAGCTTTTATACTGGTTTATGTTGTTGAAAAAGCAAGTTTACATAACTTCTAGTGCAGAAACATCTGGTTTCCTTCTCCCCTTGGGTTCCACCCAAAGCCTAGCCAGGGCTCAAGGGGGAAAACCAAGGGAGTCAACCTTGACCATTCATCTCTTGCCAAACAAGGCCAGGCATCTGATTCCATGGCCTTGACCGGCCTCTAAATATGGAAAGATAAATAAAGTCTTTCACTGATGATCAGTTCGTTAACGAGCGGATACACAGATAAAAGTAACGTTTGTTGGAAGGTTCATCAAGAGGTCAGCTGTGGCTCAGGGCCTGTTGTTCAGGCCTCAGAACTTCACTCTTTCCATGGAGAAATTCCTCCTGATGTCCAACCTGACCCTCCCCTGGCACAGCTGGAGGCCGTTCCCTCTCCTCCTGTCCCTTGTTCCCTGGGAGCAGAGCCTGATCCCCCCCCGGGGCCCCCCCCCGTTCAGGGGGTTGCAGAGCCAGAAGGTCCCCCCTGAGCCTCCTTTTCTCCAGGCTGAGCCCCCCCAGCTCCCTCAGCTGCTCCTGCTGCTCCAGCCCCTTCCCAGCTCCGTTCCCGTCCCTGGACATGCTCCAGCCCCTCAGTGTCCCTCCTGAACTGAGTGACCAGCACTGGACACAGGATTCGAGGTTCCAGCACAGGGGGACAATCTCTGTCCTGCCCCTGCTGGACACGCCACTGCCGCCACAGAACCGCGGGCTCCCGATCCCAGTCCCGATCCCGATCCCGGTTTCAGTCCCGGACGGGATCTATGTTCCGGTCCCGGTCCCATCCCCGCTCCCGGTGCCCCCGCACCTGCGGAAGTCGTTCCGGTCGGTGGCGAAGCGGAACGCGCTGCGGAGCCACCCGCGGAGCCCCCTCGGCGGGGCCGCCACGGCCGCCGGTCCCGATCCCGGCGTTCCCGGTCCCGATCCCGGTCCCGCCGCCGCCGCCGCCATTGCTGCCCCTGCGCGCGCCGGGCGACGGCGTCACCGGCGCCGCGTGACGTCACGGCCGCCACGTGACGTCACTGCCGGCGCTCGGCGCCACGTGGGGCGGGATCGGGATCGGGATCGGGATCGGGATCGGGATCGGGATCAGCGCGGGGCTTCCCGGCACCCCTCGGGTCCGGGCGGTGCTCGGCAACCCCCGCTGCGCAGCCGGGCAGCCCCCGAGCTGAGCCGCACAGGGAGGGACTGGGATTCCCGGGAGCAGTCGGGGTTTCCTAGGAACGTTCAGGGTTCCCCCTGGGAGCAGTCGGGGTTTCCTAGAAACGTTCAGGGTTCCCCCCGGGAGCAGTCGGGGTTTCCTAGGAATGTTCA